CATCCAGAGCAGTTATAAACATATTGAAAAGTTACCGGGCCCAGAACCAAGCCCTGAGGTACTGCACTGGACACCTCTCTCCGTTCAGATGAAATGCCATTGACAACTGCTCTTTGAGTGTGGTTCTCCAACCAATTCCCTATCCACCTAACTGTCCTAGAGTCCAGTCCACAGGCCTCTAGTTTATCCATCAGAAAACCATGGGGAGCCCTGTCAAAAGCTTTACTGAAATCCAGGTAAACAACAGCAACAGCATTTCCTCAATTTAGTAAGCTCGTCACACGATCAAAGAAGGAAATGAGGCTGGTTTGTTGGGGACAAATCCACACTGACTTTCCTGGATCACCAAGTTGTTCTTTAGATGCTCACAGATTGATCCATTTAAAATCTGCTCCAGTGTCTTCCCTGGGACAGAGGTCAGTCTCACTGGCCTGTAGTTTCCTCAGTCATCCCTCCTCCCTTTTTTGAAAATAGGGATAACATCTGCCCTCCTGCAGTCTTGTGGCATGTCTCCTGCCCTCCAAGAGCTGGAAGATGATGGACAAAGGCTCTGCAAGCTCTCCAGAAAGTTCTTTGAGCACTTTTAGGTGCATACCATCTGGCCCAGGGGAGTTGTACTCATTCAGTGCAGCCAGGTGCTTCTCAACTACCTCTCTGTCCATGTCAGCCAGCAGCCCAGATGCCGTGCCTTGCCTACTTCCATCTCTAGATGAGCCTGTTCTCTTCTTCAGGGAAAAAACTGAGGCAAAATAGGCATTAAGCCTTTCTGCTTTCTCTCTGTCCTCTGTCAAAGTTTCTCCATTTTCACCCAACAGTGGGCCCATTGCATCTTTTGTCTTGTGTTTGCTCCTCACATATCTGAAGAAGATTTTCTTGTTGTAGCGAGCCTCCCTGGCCAGCTTTAGCTCACTGTGAGCTTTGGCCTCTCTCATGGCTGACCTACAGTGCCTAGCAACCCGCAGATACTCTTATTTAGAGTATCCGCAGAGTCTGTAAAACGGAGCTCTTCCAGCAGGCTTTCGATTAGGAGCCACCACTAACATATCGACAATATCTGAATTACCAACAACTGAATTGTTACGGCCCTTATGTTAATAGTAATAAGAACAGCTAATGATACCAGTATGGCCACATAATACCATCATAGAATGGTCTTATAAGATGCTATCACCATCTACATGCAACAGCACTTCTCTCTCTATATATAAAAGAAAGTCCCCTCATCGTAAAATCAACGCCCAGACCAAACCACTGGACCTAGAGACACCAAATTTGGGGAGAGCACTCCCACCGTGGCGTAGGTGCTCGCTAAGAGGGGGTTTTAGAAATTCAATCCTTAAGTGGGTCAAAAGGGGGGAAATGTGCTCCCCCCATTGATTCCTATGCGGCTGCCAGGCAGTTGTCTCCCTGCACCCCCCACTCTCTGATTGGTCAGCTGCAGAGCTCAGTGTTCTGAGGCAAAAAATCCCAACAGTTACAGGAGTCTGCAGAGGGCTAATGACAGTTGAGGAAATCAGGAGTGGCCAAGAACCATCTGTGAGGTTAAGCAAAGCTGCTGGCACAGCCTCTCTGATGGCCTCAAACACTTCCCTCACCTCCTACACCTGACAGGCAGTTGTCCGTCAGGTGCAGCAGCAGTTGCAGGGTGCGTAAAGCCACTAGGTAGCCCTCCTAGCAGTAACGCCTTAGTGATCCTGCCAGGCCAGCCTCCACAGTTACTTCTAATACTCCTCCCCCTTCCCCCTCCTACACTGGACAGGCAGCTGCCTGTCAAGTGTAGGAGAGGAGGTTGGGATGCTTACAGCTGTCAGGGAGGTTTGCTCAGCAGGATTACCTTAGGGCTGCTGCTGGCCCAGCTTCCCTGATGCCTTTAAACACACTCTTCACAACACCAGACAGGCGGGTGTCTGTCAGGTGTAGGAGCAGGGCCAGGGTACTTCATCAGGCTCATATGAACTTACTTAGTATCTGATTGCTCGGATGGTGTTTTGAATACGTAGTTATGTCCCACTTCTTAAATGTAACATAAATGAGAGGCAATTTTATTTAAAAAGGGGGGGGTATGCCCTCCCCCCCAATTTAATGCCCAGGCCAAACTCCTACACCAAGAAATCCAAAATAAGGGGAGTGCATTCCTACCATGATGTCAAACCCCCCCACAAAGAGATTTCTGAGAAACATGACCCCTAAGGGGGTAAAAAGGGGCAAAATATGTTCCCCCAATTGTTTTCCATGCACCTGGCAGGCTTCTGCCTCCTTGCCCCCCCCATTGGTCAACTGTGTAGTTCAGAGTTATGAGGTAAAACCTGCCTCTTGCACTCACCTCCCTCTGAGTGCAGTTAAAAGCAACTGCAGACAGTTGAGGACAGTTACAGAAATCAGCGATTCAAGACTCCTGAATAGACATTTTTCAAAAAAGCCAGCATGGCAATTGAGTTTATGAATGTTCATGGGGAGATAGTAAAGGACCTTTCTAGGAGCCATTTCGATGCATGCCTCACTCACGAGCCTGAAGAAATGTCCACCATGTCACCACTCCCTCACACCAACTCCCCCTCACACCTCTCACCTCTTACTGCCGCCAAGAAAGCTCCTGCCAAACATCGAGCCAGATACACCAGTGCTACCAGGAGGAGGTAACTTAGGAATGTGGCAAAGACATTTGTACATAGTACTCCTGCGGTGCACCAAAGCTGCACAGGCCAAGTACCAGTGAGATCACCCTGAGGTGCTCAGAACAACACTGTATCCATATGAGCAAAACATTCCAGGAACACAAGTAGAGAGGCCATCACTTTCATGGAAGATAGCAGGAGTTGAGTTAACAGACGACTGCTTCTTAAATGGGCAGGTCTGTGTTGCCTATAAAGTGAGCTCATCAAGCAGCCTGGTGATCCTAGCACCTGAGGGCAGGACCACCACTGTGGTCTACAGAGTGGTCCTTCAGTATAGAGGGGTGGGAAAGTACGTATGTCTCACTTCATTTTTTTCACTACAAACTTCTCCATTAGAATTCCTACAACAAATGTTACATTTCAGACTTCACATCATCAGTATTATAACTGGGTTTACATAACTTAAATACCGTAGCGAAGCATGGGTATCAGGCTAGTTATACATAAATCTTATTGTTTGTCTGAATTTTATACTATCGCATTGTTTAATGCATCTGTGTTTTATTGTATTTATTGTAACCTATTGTAAACTGCCCTGAGCCTGCCCATGTGGGGAGGGCGGAATATAAATAGAACAAAATAAATAAAGAAGTATATCCTTGCCTCCACTTCTTGAACATTTCCTTTTTCTCCCTTACACATCATGGAGTTCTCTGTCCGTCCACATTGGCTTCTTGGATCCCTTACTATGTTTCTTGTTGGAATAGCCATGGCTTGGGCTTGCAAGAGCTCTTGTTTTAGGAGAGCCCACCCTTCACTGGCTCCCTTCCCTGCCAGCAGTCTCACCCATGGAATGATTCTCATCATGCCCCGAGTTTATTAAAATCTGTCCTACTGAAATCTAACATACATGTGTGGCTACGAACTTCCTTGGTCCCCCACAGCAAAAGGAACTCTAGCAGGACATGGTCACTACGCCCTAAGGTCCCTACCACCTTCACCCCATCTACCATTTCTTGCCTATTGGCCAATATTAAGTTGAGTGCGGCCAAGCCACTCATAGCTTCCTCCACCATTTGATTAATTTGATGAGTAGCATCCGGCTACTCATTTCCATGTTTGAGATCAGTAGTGCAATTGTTCTTGCAAGGTAGCCTCATACTCTAAGGCACCCTGATGCATTGTAGAGCTGTGTGACATAATTATGTTTTATCTGTTTTTTTCTCTGTGGCCTAGGTGAGCTTCTTGGCAGTATAACCATAATATACCTCCTGTTTATAATTTGGCTATTCTGAACTCATGAATATGCAAAGCCTGTATGAATGACTGGTAACTTACATGATGCCTGTCCATGTGGCAGGATATTGTCTGACTGGTTCACCTTGAACAAGTGCTTCCATGTGCTTGCCACACTTAGACCGATTTCCCACAAGCTGCTGCTCCACGCTTGCTCTTCCCTTTGTCCTGATCCTACGTGTCAATTTCACACTATGTGGTGCACGGCGGTATTTTGCCCCGCAGCTTCGCGTGATTTCCTCCCCATCTATTCAATCCTGTTTTTTGAGGATTGAGTAGACGCGGGGAAAATTGGACAAAGCTGCGGGGCAAAATGTGGCCGCATAGCACATGGTGTGAAATTGACACGATCGGGGCAAAGGGAAGAGCGAACGTGGAGCAGCAGCTTGTGGGAAATCGGCCTTAGAAACTCCTCTGGTGTTGAAGGCAAAAGTGCTAGCATGAAAATGGCAAAACAGAGGTGCAGAATGATCAGGACTGAATATTTGCACTTCATTGAAATGGTGGTGTTCTGCTACAGTATACACAGACACAGTGCTTGGGAAGGGAATGAGCTGCTGTTTTTGCATT